AAATCAAATAAGAACATATTTGATGGTGATATATTAATATTGAATACTTGTTTCAAAGTCATAGTTTAATAAGGACATAGTAGAGCTAAAATCTGCACAAAAATTGAACTTCTATATTAAACAGATTCTATTAATGTAAGATAAATAGTTGACCTTAAAGTCAAATCTTGTGATGAAATGTAAATTGCAATTTGAAAATCCCAGCCTTAGAGAATATTTCAGTAGACAGTTTCCTTTCAGGTATCTCCTGTGACTGTTGACTACTAGAACAGTAGTCTATGATAACAATATGACAGCACCTGTAAACACTGCCTGTACACGGTTGGACACACGTGTTGTTATTGCTTACCACGGATCACCTTTAAAAAGCAATCTCCTTCATTTCTGCTTAAGGAAGAAAAAGAGATGGAAAGATACAGACTCTAAGTAGCACCTCTGCAGTGGTATCTCTGAGCATTTTAGAATTACAAAGTTAATGTCCTAAGGACACCTTTTGACCCTGCCCGCCACTTCTTCTTACTTCTTTCCAACATGTATTGATTTTTTTATTAAAATTTAGACCAGAGAGAAAAAGAAAACTGAACAGTTGAAGGTTATAGACTTTGAGATTAGTATCTTTTAATATAACAGATGTTTGTGCTGTTCAAAGAGGGCCACACTACATGTTAAGCCAAAGACAGGAGATTCTAAGTTATCCGTTCATTTACAGGAAAATACTTATACAATAAGGAGAACATAGAGCCATACATAAAGTGGCATGCTGGTAAACATTTAACAGCAGGCTTGCCAAAAATAAAAAGCCTCAATTTATAGTGTTTGCCAGTTTGTGTGGCATATGTACTCCCACATTGTTAATTCTGAGCTACCAACACATATAAGAATTTATAATTAAGGAAGGTGTATCAGGGCTGTTACAGAGTACTTCCAGTGTACAAAATCAAAGGTGTGGAAATATTCATAAGAGTAGATGATACCAAATGGACAAAGACAAATGGAATTTGGAGTGCTGGTTACTGTTTAAAAATATTTGTTTAATTATGTTTATATAACCTATCCATATGCAGTTTATTTTTTAAAATTTATTTTATTTAGTCCACAGTATCTCAATCATCTTTATACCCAATTCCCATCGGCACCCTCCTACAGCGCCCAGGCTGATTTCATGCATTCTGTCTTTTATGTTAAGGCCTATCAAGTCAAATTAGCATCTCTTGATGTCCCTCAGTGCAAGTTCCTCCATAGTGCAAGTTCATGCGCTGGTATCTAGTCACCTATCTAGAGTAACTCCCTTAAAGATCAGTTAGTTCTTCCCCACCCAGAAGTCATCAGCTGCGCAATAGCATCTTCCTAATGGCCAGCATACCACCTGAGCACAGTTTTTCACAGATTCCAGGTCTTGCTTTGCTATAAGCTGGGATGGGATACAGTAAAAGAGCTCCTCTGGCTTTGTTTCTAGTAGCTGATGAGAAGACAGGCCCAGATGCCACCAATCACCTATAGCAGTTATTTCACTTAAATTGCATTTTAAAAATTATTGATTCAATTCTTCTTCCCTGCAGAAGTTTCTAAAATTATTATTTAACAAAGTATTAATAAAAGCCAATATTATCATTTATTAGGGCATATACTGTTAGTTCCATATAGTAACTATTACCTTCAATCAATAAGGAGACATTTGTTGATAGTGAATCGGAAATAATAGTCACTGAACGTCAAACCATACCTGTCAGGCTCTTGTTCTTTATTTATGTACTTTCTAGGGAACTGAATTTAAAATGTATGATACTCATTGTGTGTACATGTACACACTGATATAAACATATATGCTCATATAATGAAGAAATATCAGCATATGTTCTTTCCTAGAAACAACTAATTATAAATAACCATTACAGACTTGAACCCAAAAGAATGTCTGATTCCTGAAAAAAATGTCAAAACCATTTTTCTGTATTTTTTCACCTTCTGACTGAGAATAGGTTGTCAGAGGGCAAATGTTTTCAATAGACAAATTCATTCAAACCTATAGATCAGCTTTTACTGAGTTGTTATTGGAATAAAATCACTTTAAAAAGCTTACCTTCATAATATCGTATACATAAACCTCTAATAAAATCAAAGCAAAGTAAATTCAACAGATTTCTGAGAAGTTTTACAGGGGCATGTATAACAACACAATAACTGATGCCCACATCTCTGCCTGATAGATTGGGGGTCTCAGCTTCCACTGCTGCATTCGTAGAAGTCGGGGATGTTAGGGCTGGTTTTCTGAGAGCCTATTGATAAACCAGAATTTCAAGTCTTTCATTTGCCAGATGAAGAAAGCTAAGGCCCAGAAGGACACTGGACCTATGCCTGATGCCATGCAGTTAATTAGAGACACAGCAGGTTGTAACCAGGCATGCAGACCCCACTGTGGCCCAGCAGGGACAGGTGTTAATTGTAGAGCAGCCCTACCTCTTGAAGCACCCTCTTCATCTTCAGCAGCAGCGTCTTCACTGCCGTGCAGTCCTGCAGCATAAGCCTGAAAGGCAGAGAATCCATGCCTCCATTCTCCTCCACATTCTGCAGGGGCCAGTCTGCAGAGGGGCTGACATGGCAACACCTGGTTTCCTGGTCAATGTCTTTTGTTATTTTCAGGGAAAGGCTCCTAACAAGGAAAAAAAAAAAAAGAATAAAAATTACAACACCCCATGCTTAGAGAAGCATTTCCTCAGGTGTTAATCAACGTTAATGGCACACTGAAAACAATTTCTCACGGGCTTCACAATTTTCTCATATTAGTCTTTCAAAATACTAAGACCTTCAGCAGAAATTATGAAATGGGTTAACTGTGTATTTAGTGGTAAAATTCAAAGAAGATTACAGTTTTATAGTATGATCTTTCCCAAATCAGTATTTCATTTTTATATGGTACTTATTTAACACATTTGTAAATATTGAGCAACAAAAATCACTGAAGGACAAATTTTATATCTGAGGTTTCTTATAATATGCTTAAATTAACTTCATTGAAAATATTAGGTGAAAGTTGTGAGAAAATAATAAATATTTTAAAGCACTAAAGCTATCAATGACAAGTTTAGTGATTTTAAAAGGGTAGCATACATGGATTTAAGTTAAGACAGTGACATAACTGCAGGTGCATAATTCTACAATGGAAAGGAAGAAAATTATGCCAGGCCTGAAAAAGTGTCAGTCCAGTATAAGGACCATTGTGATACGAAGGCAACAGACAAGAGACAGATGCAAGAAAAGCCCCCTGCCCTCTGGATTCCTGTACAATCAGATTTCTTGAAATCAGATTTCCAAAGGTATCTTCTTCCTCTTTCTAACCAGAAAGGAAGTTGGCTGCTAGCAACAGTTCTAGACGCCTCAGCTCAGAGAGGCACCAAAAGAGTCTACTAAGCCTTATTAACTAGTAGTTGTCGTCATTAATTCCCCCATGTATCTGCCTTCTCACAGGTGCCTCCCTAAAACTCCAGTCACTTTGTCCTCTTAATTCGCTATAATTTACCATTGTTGTTAAGATGCTGTATAACTTCCAATGCTAACTGTCATTTTGAGTTACTCATTTCTGAGGAATCTGGGTAGATGAAATATGTTAATAAGCTTGATTCTCTTGTTAATCTGTCTTTCTTCAGTCTAATGTACAGGACCCCAACTCTAAAGCATGGGAGGGTAGATGGAAAAGAATCAAACACAGAGCTCACTTGAAAAACTGTTTTCCCAGACTGACAAATACTATCAATGAATGCATGTGTGTTATATAGTCATTAGGTGAAAAACCCTGACACACTGCAAAAGTTCAGGCCCATTTTTTGCCAACTCTCTAATTCTGCAGTTAGTTACTGGTGCTGCAGCTTCCTCATATATAAAATGATGGTATAACTGTCTCTACCTCCTAGACTCATTTGAATACATTGAAATACGTGAAACAGCCAGTACTGGGCTGTTTCCTTCTTCAAGAAATGATAACTATGTCTATTTATCATTCAGTACTCTTTCCTCAAGAAACAATAGCTATGTCTACTTATCGTTTAATTACAGATGCTGAAATAGCAATAACTATCTTCTAACTTCAAATGATACTTGAAACTAAATCTGTGAATATAAGAAAACAATTGTGACCCCAAAATCTGTCTTCTTTTATTAATCTTACAATAGTTTAGAATTTAATTACTCTAACTCTAAATAATCAGATTTTCATAAAATTAATTGAGGACATGTTACACTATTCGCATAGTTACCTAAATTTAAAAGCAAGGACCAGGGTTTCTTTTTGTGTTTTCTAGATTGAGGAGGGTGCTAGGATGAGGTCAGACACCAGAAAATAATCATATATAGACATAGGTTTAAACCTGAAGATCTGCCACTGTCAAGTAGCTAAGATGGGCCAGGTATAGAAATGCATTTGGAAGACAAAATTAGGCGTGCGTTTTATGCTTCAGCTGCTGGAGAGACAGTGCTGGCACTTTTCCGCAGTTGGGAATCAGCAGTGCTAGTGGGGCAATGGTGGCTGGAGTTGCGAGAACAGACTCACTTCTGTCATGACTGAAGAAGCCAACAAGCTTTTCACTTCATAGTAGTTGATACCAAAAACTAAAATATTATTTTACATATAGACTGTCTTGAGACATTTTATTTGCACATGAAAAAGCAGATGTGCTATAAGACCACAGTGGCTAACACTGTTCTTAAACGGACAGAGGGAGTGCGTGGGAAGACTGCTGGCCAACTCAACTCTTCAGCAGCACAGCTGCCCCACCCATCCTCTGTAGCTGTGTTGATGTCTTTCAGACTGCTTAGAGCACATGACTTTTAATTAGTAATGTCCAATACCTATTCAATATTTAAAATATTAAAATTTAAAAACAGAGAACAATTGGAACTAACACATCCAAATGTCTCCAAGCACATTCACCTAAAAGCATTCTTGTGGTTGATGACAAAAGAGAAAAAGTCTGGCATGAAGTCATAGTTCTCCATTGTACAAACACAGTCAAGCCGTTGCAGGGAGAAAAGTTCTGAGGCTCTTCTGTTCCCTCCTGCACAGGCTCACTGGCAAAAATGTTGATGCACCTTGGGATCTACTCCTCACTGTTGGCCAACTGTGAATTATTATGGCTCGGGAAGCTGAATGAATGTGTTTTATATATTAAAACATCCCTAAACTTGAGGGGGAAAAGGAGATGATAGCTGGATCCAGTGGTTTGTTAGTCACCATAACTATCAGAACAAAAACAAAACCTGCAATTTCCACTGAGTGCGTTTACATACTGCTCACCAGCGGCACCTTCACAAACCTCTGTAGAACTGTGAGATAATATTCACCATTCCTTGATGCTCATGCAAGATGAACAACTCTTTATAATGTTAGTAAATCTGGATTGAGACTTATGGACTTTCTCAGTCCACAGGCACCAAAATAAAGAGTTCCCATAAAAACAACAGTATAACTAATAAACATTGCAGTAAAAATATTCTTGAAAAACCAGAGGGTTTGAGAATTCAAAGTGGCACTTAAAACATTTAACTTTAATCTACTACAGTGAATTGGATTTGTAATTCTGCCACTGGGAACTGTTCTGTGATAGGATTTATTTTTACAAACATCTCTCCTGTCAGTCTATTTGCAGTATGACAGAAAAAGTTTAATGGAAAATGTATTTCTTGATGCAAAATTGAAGAGGCATTAAAGAGTTTTTCTTTGCCACAGAGAAAAATATGAGTATTTTCATAATTTTTCTTATTTATTTATAACTAGGAATATCATTTTGATGGTGAAAATTTTTCTTTCCATCCATAAGAACTCTTCAAATCATTTGAAAGTGTCCCAGTACAGTAGCCTACAAAACCAAAAGAATTATAGGTATCACTTCCAAGACACTCAGTGTTTTGTGAGCTCTTCCATGTTCAGTTCACTGACATCCTTCATGGCAGAAACTGCCTATGCCCAAAAGTTCTCTCAGTGACACCTCCACGGCACTGCTGAGACCTGAGATGATTCTCCAAGAAACAGGTTAGTCGGGTACCCGCCAACTGCCCAATGAAAAAATAAGCAAATATTCCTGAGGACTTCCAAGCCTCAGGAAACAGTTTTGCAGATAATAATATTTTTAAGTGACTGAATTTGGGAAAGCTACCGCTATTTAAACCTCATTTCAAAAATGTTTAGATTTTTTATGATGCGTTTAAGTTTAGCTTAAATATAACTAAAGCAGACAGCACAATATAAATGCATATTAATTAACTGATATCCTACAGTTAAACAGACTGCCTGTTAAAGGAATTATCTACAAAAAGCTAATGTCCATTTCATTCATCAGTCATCTATGTTTCTTTTCAAAGTACAATGTTTGCCTGAAAGTGTTATTTTAGGAAAACTGTATTTTGAATTGCTTCCTTATGGGATGTTTATAAAGGTATCTGAAAGGGATAGAGCTGGCATCTCACTCTATAAGGAGAGCAGTTATAGGAACTTAACACCTCAGATTTAGACAAAAATGTGCACATAACTGGGTATTTTACTAAGACCCATGATACAGGGAGAACCAACGTAGATTTAAAATATCTTAGCCCACAAGGTCTGTCATGGTGTTGCCGTGTCTGCATCTCCACATTTTTTTTTTTTTTTGACGAGTCAATGAGTTTTTTAGAGCTATTTACAGGAGTATGAGTGAGACGTTGCTTAGAGAGCATGGACAACTCAGAGGCAGCTGCATCATCAAACAGCCCTCCCCGTAGAGGATTAAGAGGCGAGAAGAGAGGCAGGCGTTCCAGTACAGGCATCCTTGGAGCTCTCTATACAGCTATAGGCAGCTGGATAGGTCAGAGAGTCTCCAGGCAGCTTAGCAGGTCCCAGCATCTCCTCTCCCCAACAATTGTTTACAGCTCTAGGACCTTGGCAAGGGGCCTTGTGAATCTTGTAAATTTTACCTTTCCTGGACTTGTAAGCTTGTTTATTTCCTGAATCTGAGGAGCCTCCCTCCTTCTTCCAGGAGAGAATGTTGCAATTTTCTTGAAACTGCCCTACAGCAATGTTTATCTGTGGCAATAATACACGTTCACTTTTTGCGTCACATCACATAGTCCTAATTCTCGACTGCTGTCACACCTCCTTCCCATGCTCCTCGGAAAGAGTCTAATTACCCCTCCCACACAATCGGTTGACCTTAGCTTCACGGGGAGTGGGAGAGCTAAGGACAAATAAGACAAGAATGCCAGGAGGCAGGTCTCTCGCCATTTTGTGTGGCTGTTGGGAAGCCACAAGATTTATGTTTGGGTGTGGACTTTTCAGCACAGCCATGAATGAGGGGGCACCCAAACTTCTGTAAGTAAACCAGCACCCTGAGTTCAGTTAGCAATTCTAATAAACTCGTTAGGATTTTCCAAATGGTGGTTTTGGAGAATTCTTGCCTCAGGTTGTCCAAAGGACAGTGGAAGGAGGGTACGGGAAGCTGAGTGCACCTTCCAGCAGTGAATTTGACCTTACAGGGAAACAAAACAGAGTTGAAGCATGCAACACCAAAGGCACTTCATATATATGGAACAGACCAAATGTATTCATTAAAAATACTTAACTTAGAAAACCTCACAGATTAGCTGGCCTTCCTCTAATAGATATCTATTAGTATTTTTAAAAACCTA